CGCAGAGGTGCATTCTCAAAAAAGTAACCATTGGAATTATCACTGCGACGGGAGGAAGCTGGTCCTCCAGGCTTGCCATGTGATAGTCACGGGTTGGCAACATAAGCTGGTGTGAGGGGGGACTGGATAGCTATCCAATAAATACATTAGTGAGGTTTAGCTGAGTATTCAAGTCAAATCAAGTGATGGAAGGCAGATGGCCAGGCTCCAACATTTCCAAAATTTATCAAAAGTTATTTACTAAAGATTACCTGGCAGACATATGGACATATACTCGGAGGACCATTGAGCCTGGGTCCTGTTGGATGTCAGTCTCAACCAGTAAGTAGTTTCCTTCTGTATCACGTGACCTGGAATATTCTGAGCTACCCATGCTGCTCATTGTAAAGGGCTGGGTCCAGGCACAGGGGCCTTGGTGAATGCACAGGCCCAGTACAGAACCCTTGGGGTCTTCAGAGCGCCCTCTGTTGGTGAATGCACAGGCATGGTAAGAACCCTTGGGGTCTCTAGAGCGCCCTCTGTGCAAGCCACATTGGTGTCTGAGGAGCCTAAGGAACTGACATTGACCATGACGATAATGTTTCCAACACCATGTTTTTCTTTCTAAACCATGTGAACATCACCGCCACCACATGTATGAATGATGTCACATGTGATGCTTAGGGATCAGTCTCTACAGGAACTATAAAATTCAGTCACAGGGGCTGGAGAGATAGTGCAGCGGTTGTTAAGAACTCTTGCAGAAGACCTGGGTTTGATCCCCAGCACCCAAATGGTGCTCACAACTGCCTTAGGCATATATGCAGTTAAAACACTCACACATATAAAACAAAATAAATAAATCTAAACAAACAAACAACAACAAAAACCAACTAACCAAAAAACTCAAAACAAACCCTTGTTTTATGGTCTCTTGTTCAGGTTATAAACATTCAATTACTTCTACCCTGACTTCAGGGCAGTCTTATTGCAAAAGATATAAAATAATTTCCATTAAAGTCTTTTTTTCCCTTTTTTTAAAGATAGTCTTACATGGCCCTTGTTGGCCTTGAACTCATGATCCTTCTGGGGTTCCCCAGGGTTGGGAGTCTAAGTGTATGCCACCATGATGTCTGGCTTGCTGTTGTGTTTGAGTAGACTATACTGATTGTTTTTAGCTCTCAGCTTTGTGTACCCATTGTATAGATCTTGAGCCAGATGGATACCATCCTCAGGACTTGGCCTGGTCTGCTTGCAGAAGATCATCAGAGCTGGACTTGTCAACTGTTGACCTTACCTCACAGGAAAATACTGAGTATCCACCTGCTCCCTCAGTGGCTGTGTGCAATTCTAACTGGACATGGTCTGGGGTTTGGGGGAGGGGCTCGGGAGGACCGAAGGAAGAGCCTTCTGTCTATCACACAGCCACTGGGAGGCCATCATCCATGCTGGGTGGGGACCTTCCCATGCTGCCTGTGACCTCTTACCCATGAACTGTAAGTGACCCTAATATAATAGTTGGTGAACTTCAGTGGAATGGAACTTTGAGACCTTATGAGGAAGATATGAAAGTAGATATTTGGCTCCCCTTAATGGCCCCCAGCATCTTTCTTGGAGATATCACTTCTCTGTTCTGTTCCTTCTTCCTCCCCAGTCAAGAAGCTGGTTTTATAAAAAGATGTATTCTGAATTTGAATTATGTCTGGTGTGTCTGTGTGAGTATATGCTATGTGTGTGCAGGCATTGCGACGTCAGAACCTCTTAAGCTAGAGTTACAAGTGGTTGTGAGCCATCTAATGTGTGGTAAGAAATGAATTTACATCCCCTGGAAGGGGAGCAAGTGCTTTTAACCACTGGCCCATCTCTCCAGCACATCTAGTTTCTTAAGAGAGAGTCGCACTCTTACAGGAAAACCTAGACGAGAAGAGTTCTTTCCAGGGAAGGCAGGGCCTTGCAATCTCGACAAGATAGAGTTGACCATCTTACACTAAGGAAATGGATTTGGCTGTGCAGGAAGCGGGGGGATACATACACTTTTATTTAGTCATTGGTTTTTGGGACAAGATCTCCCAATGCAGCCCAGGCTGCCCTCAAACTATTAATCCTCCTGCTGAGTTTGGCTTGTAAAGCCTAAAACATCAGGCATGGTGGTTTTACTTATTTTTAACTGTTTGTTCTTTATTTTAGCATATTAATATCCTCACTTTTCTTTGTGTGTTTGAGATGGTCAAGAGGCCTGAAGTTGTTTGAAGCATTGAAAGGTCACGTGGTGAGAGACAGCACATCAAATAACAATAGCCACTCAGCTGTTTGTGGCATACAGTTTATTTCACTAGACTGCAATTTTATACACAGTATGAAGGGGTTTCCGGGTAGCACATATATAGTTTACTTTCTGTAGTGCTGAGGACCCAATTTTTATTTATTTATTTATTTTTTTTACAGTATATCATGATACCCTATCATTAAAACATTATTCCGTGAATTTTTCCAACTACATATAAACGGAGATTTACCACACGCATGGTGCAAAGAATGTCTTCATAACATATTTGAATCACAAAATGTGAATCTAAAATACACCACTGTAATTAGAACACTACTTTAAAATCACAATGCCCCGCGCCAAAGAAGCCATTGGATGAATCCCTGCAGAGTCAAAAGCAGTTGGGTGAATTCAGTGGCAGCAGCTTCGAGCTATGATTTCAAAAGAAATCTTTTAAGAACCACACTTGCACAATTTTAAAATGTCTTCCTTTATCTGTTTAATATTCTCAGAGTCAAAAAATGAGACATTTTAAAATTTATAGTCTTTAAAACAAAGAGAATAAGCCCAAGCCTCCCTCAACTGAAAGGCTGGGGCTATAATACTAGATTTCGTAGAAACCTAAGAAAAACATTCTATGGGAGGTGGAAATGGATTCTAAAGGAATGGAATTTCTTTGAAAACGTCTTGGATCACTGCCCCTTCGGGAAGGGAACACTGTCACAGATGACGTGTTTCCGCAAAGTGACGTCAACAAGCCAAAGGAAGAGTTCTTCACCCCCCCCCCCTTTTTTTTTTTGTGGATCAGGGTGGTGGGAAGCTCACCAGTTAAATAAGAAACACAACTCCTTAATCACACAACAACGCCACCACACACAACAGCCAGGGTTATGGCCGAGAATCTCTCGTTTCCTCCCCCTCCCCCCAAAGTTTGAAAGTTCACAATAAATAGTAGAAAAATAATCCTTTACTTAGAAACTTTGAGATGCATCATTTAGAGCTCAAGGTGAGTTCGGTTCCGGACAGTTACGGTGGTGTCCAGGCACCGCTAGGAAACAAGGATGTCCGTCCAGCGGTTGGTGGCATCGGGTGTGTGCCACGTTCCTGGCATCTGTTCCAGCCCTCTTCCAGGGAAGGGGTCGAGTGCTTCTGGTGCTGGGAACATTCCTCTGGCTCAGTTTCCTCGACAAGTGTCTCTGTTGGAGCTTTGCCTAGGCTTCCATTCCATTATGGCAGGTCAGTTCATCAGCACCGGGGGGGCCCCCGCCCCCCGGCTTCCATTTCAGAACCAGCTTCAGCTTCTCACAAACAGGACTTTGTGGTTTCAGTTTTTAAACACGCCAGCAGGCAGCAAAGGCCTCGGACTTCACTGACAAAGCACAGACACCAAGTGTCTCACGGGCCAGAGTTTCACGCCCGCTCATGTCTTCTCAGAGCATCCCGCATCACCAGGGCCCCTCGGCCTGTTAGCACTCGGCGTCCACGGTGTGCACTGTCACAGCTGCCTGGAGGTGGTGGCTGTGATGGAGGGTCGGGTGGTGTGAGCGGTAGTGGTAGAACTTGTGACTTAGCAGGGCTGCCGTCTGGGGTGGGGTGTCCAGGTCCAAGTCCTCATCATGGTTGCCTACGTCCACCCCAGCTGACAAGGGGTCATTGTTGCATGGAGGGTTCTCACTGTCTTCCTGCGGACTCATGGTGCTGTACCCTAGAAAAGGAACAGCACAGCCTCAGGACACAGACCAGACTGTCTAGGGCGCTGGAGTGCACACCCCCCCGTGATAGCGACATTTAGGTGCCAACATCTGCACATGACCAGTGGATGCCAAGGTGTTGTAACTTTAAGATGATCGAGAGGAAACAGGGTTGGTTTGTTTTTTTCTAAGAACAATTAACCATAAACACACAACAATGTTAAACTACTGAGAAAGTTGGGGGAAAATGAACAAGAGTCATCACTCCAAATCCCCAGGCCAGTGATACCCCCACAGTGAAATCAGCCCACAGACCCCATTATCTGCAGGTACCCATCTTGGCATCCTGGGGCCCATCTTCCTCTGCTTCTAGAGAGTACGATGACAATCTCCCCCTGTATCTTATACACTACTAAAGCCGGCAATGGGCAGCTTTCAGGGTGATGTGAACAGGGTGCAGACTGGTTGGGAATGGTGGGAAACAGCTGAACGGTGAACTGCTTGTGGGATGTCAGTGAGGGTCCAACCCGTTATCATGATGGGATGTCAGTGAGAGTCCAACTCATTATCATCAGCACACATGTCTATAGCAAAACACAGGTCAGTGATTCCTGCACAACATCTGGGTTCTCAATGCCCACTGTAGAAAGGAGGTGGCCAGAAGGGAAGGAACTCGTCCAAGGTTCTAGTGTGCAGTGAAACCTCAAATCCCCATCTAGCCCAGAGCAACTAGAAGGGAGTCAGCTACGCTCTGTGTGAGCCAGCTCACTGTGTTTAAAGATGCATTTCTTTCAGTATTCTAAGTAACACATGTTTCAAAAGAAAATGCCTTCGTTGATCAAAGGATTCCCCTCCAAGAACCTTGGCATGTTTTTAAATATTGAAAAAAAAAAAAAAACCCTCTTCTAAACGTTTTGAGAAGTGACAGCTCATTAATAGTTTCCTTGCACCTCCGTGTCAATCAGCCCTCACCCAGGGTAAGCGCTAGTCACATTGGCGATTGCAAAACTGATATGCTCGCATTCAGTCAAGCCGGAGCAGTGTGGGGTTGAAAATGTATGCTCTGTGCAAAAGCGAGAGAGGCGATCTCTGTCCTCAGTACAACGTAACTGAAGAACTGTGTAACAGCCAGTCCAACGCAAGGAATATCGACTGGGCATCTCCTAAGTCCATGTCACTCTGCTAGGTACCGGAGGCTGGAAAACCTGGTCCTGTAGGAGCTACGCAGTCAGTGTTTGAGACAAGCAAAAAGAACACAGTGCATTGGGTCACTCTTTTACTGTGGACTGGGTGGGGGTGGAGGTGGGGTGACAAATCACATCGCCTTATTTCCCTTCCTTAATGACTAAAATGGTGTGCAGACAGTGGTGAGACCTAGAGCTCAGCTTCAGTTGAAACCCCGGAGGAGGACTAACTCATTCTGGCTAAAGGAATGAGGCAATGCCATCGCACTGTCACTAGGGCTTAGGGAGGTGAATAGGAGTTCGGTATAGTGTAGCCAGGCAGTGGTAGCACACACCTTTAATCCCAGCACTCAGGAGGCAGAGGCAGGTGGATCTAAGTTGGAGGCCAGCCTGGTCTACAGAGTGGGTTCCAGGACAGCCAGGGCTACACAGCGAAACCCTGGTCTTGAAACACAAAACCACCAAGTTTGGCAAAGTGGAGGTACGCAAAGAAAGAGGAGGGCAGTCCCTGAAGCGCGGAGCCGTAAAGCGGTTCCTCCATCGTGTGGCTCGGATCTGTGTTAGCAGGGAGCTGGGCAGCGGAGAAGGGAGAAGCCGAGAGGAGAGTTCAAGCTAGAGCCTGATGCACACGCTAGAGGAGACAGCAGGCACACGGCTTCCCTATAATGGCTGGCCCTGATCACTCTGGTCAGAGACCGACTGGCAGTTTGGAGAATGGATGAAAGGGAAACGGAGAGACCAAGGAGGTCACTGCCAACAGCCCAAGGAAGGATGAAGAATTAAAATGAGGGGAAGTGGGACGGCAGATTACAAAGGTTGCTAGGCAACCAGGCATGGGTGGTTATATGGTAAGGGCAAAGGCTACAAGCTGAGTCAGGAGGACGGCAGAGGAGACCCGGTGACCCCGAGTCCCAGGAAAGCATGACTCGGTTGGAACCATCTCCATTCTGGAGAGCCTGGTATACACACACGGTGCCAACGACAAAGAGGTACATCGTCTGCCCAGGCCAGGGAAGGAGGGCAGAGCTCACTGCTGTGGGCCGCATCACTGAGAGCACCTGGATACAGGTGCCAGGAGCAAGAACAAGAGCAAGGTGGACGGCCCCGGAAGCCCAGTCAAGGCACCACAGGTACTAGCGGCGCACAGTCAGATGCAACAGCTCTGAGCAATAGCCCTAAGGCAGTGGTTCTCACACTAGGGGGCACGACCCCTTGGGGGCTGGGTGTCAGAGATCCCGCACATCAGATACTTATATTACGATTCACAACGGTAGCAACATTACAGCTATGAAGTAGCAACGAAATAGTTTTATGGTGTGTGTGTGTGGGGGAGGGGGGTCACCACAAACGTGAGGAGCTGTATTCAAGGGTTGCAGCATTGGGAAGGGTGAGAACCACTGTCCTAAAGGCTCGGCTACCTCGGGGAAATGGTGAAAAGCTTGGCATGGGAAAGCAGGCATGGTGGTTAGGTAGGGAGGCTGGCGCTAGGGTCAGAGGGCTGGCTGGAACCACTAGGACTCCGTGGCAGGTACTAGGGGTGGGCGAGTGCCAACGCAAGCTGAGCAGAAGCCAGGTGGCTCAGAGAATCGGAGGCTGCCTCCCAGACCTCAAGCTGACGTCGGACAGTAGCAGCACTTGGAGATGCGGGACCCACCGGATATCAACAGGCTGTTCCGGGGAGGAAGCCGGGGGTTTGGTGACCAAATGAATCTGCCAGAGGAAGGGGTTAGAAGGGTTGACATCTTTGGAGATGGTGGAGGTTTCCAAGTTCAGGGGCTGGGGAAACAGTGACACCTTCTCCCACATTTAAGAGACGGGGCCAGAGTAAGTTTCTTGGTTTGCTATCTGTGGCAGGGCAAAGCCCACAGTGTAGGACTAGAAGCCAGGCTGTGAAAGCTGCCACATGGATGTCTGGACCACACCGTCCCGTGAACAACAAGGAGGACACCGAGACTAGACTTCAGCAGTCCCAGCTTTTGGGCTGCTCACCCTACTGCCCCCAGGGGTCCCATTCTGGCCACTTCTGAGTGCCACAGTGCCAGATCGATTGTTAACACACCTGGTGTAAGTTCCCTCTCCCTGATGCCATGCTTCAAGCTTCAGGTGCCTCAGAGCTCTGCTGAGTCTTCCTTGCCCATCCCCCTGACCGGCCACCTGGGTTTGGTGTCCCTCTGCCATTCTGCATGGCATTATGTAATTTTTTTTAAACATATTATACTAAAAATGGGCTCTTGGTTGACAAATTCCTCCATTTTTTCATTTCTTCTTATTTTTACTTTTGGGAGATAGGGTCTTACTACATAGCCCAGGCTAGCCTGGAACTCACTAAATAGCCCAGGCTTGCTTCTAACTTGAAATGGTCCTGCTCCGCTTTGCTTGCCGGGGCTCACCACCTTGCCTGGCTAGCCAGATCTTTCTTATTTGCTGCCTTTGCACTCCTGGCCCTGAACCCAGGGCCTCTCGTAAAGGAGGCATTTCATAGAAAAACCAACCGGGCCTGCAGGTACAGGCCTGTAAATGCAGCTATTTGGAAACTGAGGCAGGAAGATTGCAGGTTTGAGGCTGGCCTGAGTTCCAGAGCGAATTCAAGGCCAACACAAGCAGCTTAGATCCTGCCTCCAACTAAAAACTCAAAGGGCTGTGGCGATACCTCGGTGGGAGACCACTTGTCTAGCATGTAAGAGGCCTTAGGGCCAATCCCTAGTATAGCTTAAGTTTTCCTGCCTTGCCCACAGTCAGGACAAATCTTTGTCACCCGCCAGTCCCACAGCCGCTCAGACCCAACCAAGTAAACACAGAGACTTATATTGCTTACAAACTGTATGGCCGTGGCAGGCTTCTTGCTAACTGTTCTTATAGCTTAAATTAATCCATTTCTATAAATCTATACCTTGCCATGTGGCTCGTGGCTTATTGGTATTTTAACATCTTCCTTGCCGTGGCGGCTCCAGGCAGTCTCCTTCTGCCTTCCTGTTCTTTTATTTCTCAGCTTTGTTAGTCCCGCCTATACTTCCTGCCTAGCCACGGGCCAATCAGGTTTTATTTATTGACCAATCAGAGCAACACATTTGCCATACAGCCCATCCCCCAGCACAGCCAAGTGCAGACCATCTCAGACACCTGCACTCAGGCCCATGGTCCTAATCATCCTCTATGCAGACCTGCCGGGTAAAGCCACGAGGAACCCGAGAACATCCCACAGCACCCTAGAACTATAAAACTATAAAAACAAAAAGTGGTTTGCCGGGCAGTGGTGGCACACGCCTTTAATCCCAACACTTGGGAGGCAGAGCCAGGCGGATCTCTGTGAGTTCGAGGCCAGCCTGGTCTCCAAAGCGAGTTCCAGGAAAGGCGCAAAGCTACACAGAGAAACCCTGTCTCAAAAAACCAAAAAACAAAACAAAACAAAAAAAAAAAAAGTGGGCCTCCACACACTATTCACACTATAATTCCCCCAAGGGCCGGCATCCACGAGTTTTCTGTGATCTGTAGCTTTACATGGCATGGCATTTGTTAGTCTCACATAATTAGGAAGATTTGGAAATCCATGTTCTCCCTACCCAGTGGTTTTCAGCGTCTAGTGATACTCTGTAATTATTTGCCTCATTGTGATAGCCTGGTGTCTGGATCTGAAATGGCCCCCAAAGGCACCTCTGTTGGGGGACTGGATGCTGTCTGTTATGCTTTGGGAAGGGGGCTCAGTCAAGATGGCTCCAACCTCATTTTGTGGACCCATCCCTTGACAGATTCAAACCATGTTGCATTAGAGGGAGGTGGTGGAATGTAGGCAGCGGGGTCTAGTTAGAGGACGCATGTGACTGGAGGCTTGCCCTGGAAAGATGTGCCTTGCTTGGCACCATGAGGTGGCAACCTCACACCACCATGTCCTCAACCAGCATGGTCTGCCCTGCCATGGCCCAGAAACAGCATGGCCAGCCAACTACCGACTGAGACCCTCGAAGCTGTGAGCCAAAGCACAGCTTCACTGCTTGGAACGGTTCCTCTAAGCGTCTGCAAAGGACGGAAAACTAGCAGACACTATTGCCCATTCACTCCGTGTTTTCCTATCATTTAATGCATGAGTGGAAATCCCCAGGGGACAGCAAGTTGTAGAGAAGCAAGTGAAACAAATACATTTTCTTTTCTTTCTAAGTCTTCTGTGGGTGTATGTGGTAGGAGAGTGAGTGTGGGCATGCCTGCAAAGAGGTCAAAGGACAATTACCAGTGTTGGTCCTTGACTCCCACTTTGTCAGAGGCAGGGTCTCTTGTTTGCTGCTGTATACACCAGGCTAGCCCTCCCACAAGCTCCCGGGGAATCTGCCATTTCTATCTCCCATTTCATCGTGCGAGCTCGGGGCTTGCAGATGGGGCTGTAGTGCCTGGCTTTGTGGGGCTCGGGACCTCATGACTGTGCAGCAAGCGCTTTGCAAACCATGGAGCCCTCTCCCCAGGCCACAGGCGTTTCATCATCCGGCAAATAAACCATTTGCTTCTTGCCAGGAAGTTGTGCTTTGCCCTGAGAACTGTGAAATATCATGAGGACAGACAGGATCCCTGGCCATGGAGCACGGAAGAAATGCTATGTAAACCCAAAGGACCTCTGGCAGCACTTGCAAAGGCATATGCTGAAAAGCAAAAAGCATCTACGAAGATAACCTCAAGCAAGACACTCGCTTTAGGAATGAGGCCAGGCACCCATGAGGACTAGAGGTCCAAACTAGGCTTCTGTACTTTGGCATCCTGCTTATGTGTTTTCGATAGTTCCTGAGATACTGTTATTTGCCAAAACTCGAAGGCTCCTTCAGGGACTTATGCGCCATCTTGTGGTCACAAAGAGTAACTGGAGGAGGGTATCTCCAGAATATGGTCTGCTTTTGATTAGGTTTTTGTTCATCCTTTGTCTTAGAAAAAGTCCCATGAAATTGCCAAGGATGAGGGAAAAACCCCCGTTTTCAAAAAGAAAGTGTTGTTTACCATATACATACATGCAAAAATACCTGTCTAAACCTGGTTGTAAAGTTTCTAATGAGGAAGTAACTGAAATATAAACTCATGAGGAGCAAATAAACATATGCCGGTACTTTTTAAACTTAAAAATAAGCCAGTAGATATTAGACAGAACATGCTATTTTCAAGAGAAATATGAGACACAGCAGATGCATGGTCACAAAGGTATTTAGTAGCTCAACCTGTGAGGCTTACATTTTGCTGAAAAAAAAAAAAAAACAAAAAACGAACACTTTAAGTTGTCTTAGAATATTGACAGAAGTCTGGCTGGGGTGTTCGCAACACAGAGTACTTGCCTAGCATGTACCAGATCCTGGTTTTGATTCACAGCACACTTTATATTTTGAAACACGGCCTTGTGAACTATTTCTAAATGAATAAGCAGCCGCAAGTTTCCAAGTTTACTAAGAGCGGGTTTTATTTCTAGCAACATCGCTATGCAGGTTCCTAGGGGCCTAGGCTTTTACTAGTCACTCACGCGCTCATGTACACGGTGCGCATCACGGTGTGTGCACACACGCGCACGTGCACACGTGCGCGCGCGCGCGTGCGCGCGCACACACACACACACACACACACACACACACACACACACACACCACAGCACAACACAGAACCCTGGCACCGCTGCCTCGCCAGCTCAAGCCCTTCCTTTGCCTTTCTCTTTTGTTCACTCCAGGAATCTGTCTCTTTCCACCTTGTGTGGGGCTCAGGAACGTGGGCCTTCATTTCTGGGTTCCCCTGGAGTAGAAACTAGGAGGACAAAGCAGAGAGGTCGCTCCGAGCCCGAGTTCCTACCATGCTAGCTCCTTTGATCTTCACGAGAACTTTACCAGGTAGAAAAACTTAATCCTATTATTTAGTTACGTATTCGTTTTTGAGACAGGGTGTCACTACGTAAGCCTTGGCTGGCCTGGAACTTGCTGTGTAGATCAGGTTAGCCTACACTTTACAGAGATCTGCTCGCCTCTGCATCCCGAGGGCTGGGATTAGAGGTGTGTGCTACCACACCTGGCTATTCTACTTTCAGAATTAGGAAACTAAGGGCTAAAACATCTCACTAAACTACAAGCGGCTTGTTATAAAAACAAAAGAGGTGGTGGAACCTAACACGAATGCATCCTTGTCTCGGGGGCGCTCCTCTTGCTCACTCCGCCCTTTGCTCACCCCACCCTCCACCCCCAGCGCCCAGTGCACCCCACACACCCAGCACAGGCGCGATACAGGAGACTACCACTCAGAACCGTGTGGACAAACCCATCGATTCTATTTCCTCCTCTAATGCGCAGGCAGACTTTATCCTGCCGGCGTGACAGGGCCACTCAATTGGTGAGTCACTGTTAGTGGCCTGCTGTACAAGTTCAGGGACACAACAGCCCACAGGGAAGCGCCATTGATTAAAGGATGTATTTGGGATACGGGGACTCTCAGCGCCTTCTGCTTCCTTCGGTGGTTTATTCTGTCTGCATGAGAAACTATTTTTTTTTTTTTTAAATTCCTCAGGGATAACAGGGATCCAATTAGTGAGAGAAATGAGAGAGAGCGAGAGCAAGCCCTTCACTGCATTCCTGGTTTCAGGTACTCACACTGCTCACACTTATCTAAGCCGATGCCTCACACACCATCGCAGTTAAGACAGCAGAAGAGTCTGGGAACATTTTGTCACTCCAGATCCTAATTTGGTATGGATGCCACGGGAGAGGCAGAGCTGAGATTCAGTGTTTCTGCTGAATAAGAAATTATTTCAGCTGAACTTTAGTAGCCTCCAACCTGTGTTAGTATTCAAAAGAGAAGGCGCAGAATTGCCAAGCAGAGGAACTAGCACAGGTTCAAAGGATTATTGGCGGGAGGGGGATGTGGGGGAGGCAGGGAGCCAAGAAACTGAAAAATTTAAGTTCTGCTTCGGTTCTCCATAGAAACCCGAAGGTTCTGTTTAGTCAGTGGGAAGGATGCCATTCAAAGCCCAATTCACAGCCTCGGGTTTACCAGGCTGGGCTGCAGCAGCTCACATTTTCCAAGGGCGGGTGCATCCCTGCAGTGTCAGAGGGATGCTGGTCCCCTGGAGGGGCGTCACCTCCTGTTTCTATTTGCATACAAATAGAAACACTGTAGGAAGGCATTTTTCTTCTTTCAGGATAGGTGTGGGAAAAGCCAAGACCAAAAATAAAATAAAATAAAATAAAATAAAATAAATTAAAAAGTTTATATAATTATCTAGGCACACACAAAGACTTAGCTTTGAAAACTAGACAGCTGGCCTAAAAAAATGAGACATTCTTTCACTCCAGTTCTGGTTTTTAGTAATGGCGGCAGTGATGCTCACAGACCGGGACATACCTGCGGCATGACAGTAAGCAATTAGACACCAGGATCGTGAGAGGCCCTATGGGGTGGCTGGTCTCTGGGACAGGACATGGGCTTCCTAGGACACGGGTTTGCCTGGCACTTGGTACCTCCTCAGCCTTGACTTCTTCTGCAATTAATGTAAATCCACAACTTTGTACACACTCATTCTTAGTCATCCTTTCAAGGCTCAGTTGCAAATGTTTCTTCAGCAAAGCTTTGGAGCCGGGCGGACATGGCCAGAGACGGTGTGTGTGTGTGTGTGTGTGTGTGTGTGTGTGTGTGTGTGTGTGTGTGTGTGTGTAGGTGGGGTGGGGTGGACACTGCTAGAGGACTGTCCAGACTTGCCTATGACCCAAGCAAGAGTGTGTGTTGAGGACGCTGACAGCGGTCCACCAGCAACGTTAGCTTCTTGGACACAAGGGGTTCCATACTGAATGAAGCCTTAGCGACTGTGTGATTTTGAAATGTTTCCCACACCCTGTTTTGAGAACTTGGTCCCTTAGTAACACTATTTTGGAAAGTTCTGGAAACTCTGGAGGTGAGCCCTGGATGAAGGAAGAGGATCACTGGTGACTGGTTCTTCACTTATATGTTCCCCCTTCATCCCACCCGCCCTGGCCGCGATGGTCACAGCTGTCTTCTGCCACATGCCCTTTCCACTAGGATGTTTTACTCAAGACACTGGCCCAAGCAATCAGATCTAATCAGCAACCAAACTGAACCCTCTCTCTTTTAGACAGGGTTTCTCTGTGTAACCCTGGCTGTCCTGGAAACTGCTCTGTCTCCTGAGTGCTGGGATTAAAGGTGTGCGCCGCTGCCGCCTGGTACACTGAACCCTCCTTCTTAAACCATGGGCTAAAAGGAATAATTCCTCCCTGCTTTTGTCAGGAATGTGGTCACAGCTAAGCAAAAGTGTCAAAAACACACCTTAAAAAATGACGTGTGTGTGTGTGTGTGTGTGTGTGTGTGTGTGTGTGTGTGTGTGTGCTTGTGCACTATGATGTGTGGAGGTCAGGGGGTGACTTGTGGGAATCAGCTCTTTCCTTCTACCACATGGGTCCCATGGATGAAACCTAGGTCATCAGGCTTGGATGCAAGGATCTCTACCCATTGGGCTGTCTCACCAGCCCCCACCTGCTCTGCGGAGGAAAACTTGAAAGCAGTCTGTGTGGTCAGGGCCATCTAGCTTGTGCCTGGAAGCATTGGGACGCAAGAAAACTGCCCATGCACTTTTCTCAAGCAACGTCACGCTTGGGTGCATCCTTTAGGGAAACTATGTCCAAAGAATTAAGTACGGAATTGGAGAAGGGGAGAGAAAGAGTGTGTGCCACCTCCCACAGGAGTAGCCCAAGCTCCCGATGGCTTCTGCGCTGAGGACCAGACCTTACCATGATCGCTTTCGGTACCCGAGCGGCCCCAGTAGCGCCGTCTCCTTTCAGGACTGTGTGCATGTCGCTCCATGACGGCAGCTATGAATCGAGTGTTGCTGACTACAGGAAGTCAAGGACAGTTAGTGTCACTCTTGGGCCAGGGCCTTCACTGATTCAACGCCCTGTGCCCTGAGCATGGTCACTCACATGCTGGGGGAGCTCTTCTTTGAAGAGTTAGAATAAATAATTTTTAAAAGAATTTTAAGGGTGAGGGGAGAAGCGCTTAGCCACTTATCTACCGAATGTGTCAGCAGGCCAAGGGCAGCTCAAGGGATCTAGACATCAGCAGAAGTCTCTTTTAATAAAGAAAGCACTTTTCTTTTACCCTGAGTTGTGGACACTAATGAAGGGACTAAAAAAAAAATGTATTCTAGAAACTTCACTTTCTAAAACACCATGCTGGAAAAGTAATGAGAGGAGAAACTTGAAGCCAGAGAAAATGCAAAAGATAATATCTAAAAAAAAAAGGCTTTTGAGGTATTCTGAAACAAAGCAGAGACCCACACTTCTTCCACTTAACGAAAAGGGGAGGGGGGAAAAAAACCCCCGCCATGTCAAAGCTCCTTAAATTTTAATACAAGCCAAAAGGACATAAGAAGGAATATTTATTTTGGATTAGCCTCCCGCCGACACAAGCCACGGGAGGCAGCGGATACTCACTGATGCCCCTGTCTTCGTGGCTGTCCTCGTCCCTTTCATCTCTGTCATTCTCCAGGTTGGACATACGCACTGACATTTCTGTCCATCACGAGAAAGGGAGAAGCATGACTATTTAATCAAACAAAATCATCGGCTTTAATACCCCGCGGAGCACGGGTGTGATGGCCGGTGACAGCAATTCCAGCAAGAGGGAGCTGGGGGAGGGGAAGGGGAGAGATGGGGGGGGGCGGCAGAATGCTCGCCTCCAACATGCTGGGTTCTAGCCCCAGGCTCTCAAAAAAATAAAAAGGAAGATGAGCTTGCAATTGGATGGCCCCTATCTGTTACATCCGTCTAGTAAGAGTCGGATGTTAGTACAAAGGAAGAAGAGAATGGGCAAGGAGCACCTAAAGTTGAGTTCCGAAGAAAGAAATGAAGCTGGCGGAGGCCAACTCACCTTCAAGCCTCTCTCAAAGCACTTAAGCAGTAGTGGGGTCCGAACCATCACTGGCTGTGCCCTGAAAAGGCTACAGCGCCACAGACGGCCAGGTGCCAGGCAACACTGGACGCCGGCCGTCCTGAGTCTCGCCGAATCTCACCGGAGGCAGGTGTTGGTGGTAACCCTGTTGTACTCTTCTGTCAGGGCTGTTGTCATAGCAACAGCTAACACTACTTTGTCACTAGTGCTGCAAGCTGAGCTAAGTGGCCAGCATGGTGGTGAGTTGAATTTACTTTCATTTATCGTTAACACAGTTCTGGGGACTTCGGAAAGGGCGGGTATGGTTTTGAGTGCAGATGGCCGACTTAAAACTTTGGCAACAAGGTCACAATTACAGATGAACTCTTTTGTAGTGGGCTCTGATGATTCCTCCTTGTTCAAAAGGTCTTATTATTCAAACATGACCATTCATACTCTGCACAGCAGTGCAACAGAACTGATTCATATTCCTGGTCATAATGGTCTGGGGGTCTCTGATTTGCTTGGACTCAGACCTGCAAGGGCAGCCTGTGGACACACAGTCTCTGTTAGCACCCTGGCTTCCCAGCTCAGCTGACGGTAGAAATAGGCCATGGAGTGGGTGAGGGATGGGGATGTTGGTAGCATCAGGCAAGAGCCTAGAATTTTCTGGGTAATCAAAATAGGGCATGCAGCGTTTAGGCACTAGAGAAGAAAGCAGGCCTAAGCAACCTGCTGCTGACCTGTAAGAGGATTTCTGCACTCACCCTGAGCAGCAAGAGGAGACATATGCTGGTGGCTGCGGCGATGAATCTGGTGGCGGTAAGCGTACACGGCAAGGACCAACACCATGATGCAGCCCATGATCCCTCCGGCGACAGGGCCCACGGGGGCACTCTTGATCATGTTTAACGTAATCACCTCGTCACCTTCAGAGAATAAACGAACAGATGTTCGGTGTCAAGATCCCCCGAGTGCAGTGGGAGGTAGGGATGGAGGGAGAGCAGTGAGACAGGAAGGACCAGAGGAGGATGCGTTGTTTGGGTGGAGAGCTGGGCGGCACTCTAAATTCCTCCCCGACACACGAGACCGTGGGAGGAGAGACTTCACTTCATCCCTGTTCTCCAGTGTTGGCTGCTACACAGAGTGAGCAGATGAAGACCGCTTACACACATGCCTTGCCTGGTGCTGACGGAGTCCTGGCTACTCTAGGAAGAGGAAACATCACCTAGTAGAGAAAGGCGAGGTGGGCTTCTTTGAGGGACATATGAACTACCCACTGAAATGAGAGATATGAAGTACAGTGAGTCTGCTCGACGGACCAAGACGCAGGGGTGTGGCCTCCCCGTAAGCACAGAGAGTAACCCTTTGGAGCATATCTGTGCCAACTACGCCCCCGCCTGCTTCAGGGGTAACCCAAGCACTCAACCCCTCCTCCCCACAGAAGAGGTTCAATGTGCAGATATTAAAAAGCAAGATCTAGATGGTCCCTAGTTGGTGAGGACTGGACTCATGTCAACTTTGTGATGATACAAAAGCAAGAGGGCATTCACTAGAAACAACACAGACTTGGGAATCTTTCCTTGGGCTTGTGAAATGCAGGATACTCTCTTGAGACAGGTATGGAGGTTCCCAGCCAGCCATGGGCTCACAAAGGTTAAAAAAAACCAGCACTGTGTTGTTGAACTGTGTCGTTAAATTATATAACATTCAGCAGGCGGAGAGTATTAAGCACAATTTGACTTATTCCTTTTCAACCCAAGATAGGTTTACGGGGCCATAACTGTATCCCAAGTCGAGAAACATCTACATTAACTAGTGGCTTAAATATGGTGACTCAATTTGCCAGCTGACAATGAGGACATGGGGCTGACTCTGGGAAGAGACTGAAAAAAAAAAAAATCTAATGAGAAATCCAGACTCTTTGGCAGTATTTTCAAGGACTCGTGGCCCGATCCCAGGGGCTCTTCTCTTTGTGGTGCCCCTGACCCCACCCTAAGTTGCTGTAGCAACCCTGCTGTTGTAGCCCTGGGGTCTGCTGAGCCCACTGCCCTCAACAGTGACGTGTGGCTGAGGACGCCTACATTGAAAGGTGGTTAGGAAAGGGGAAAGGGGACGCTTCGGGAAGAAAGGACACACCGCGGGCCCCAGGCTTCTGACAGCTGGGATGCACATTCAAGCGGACTCCGGAGATCAGCCATGTGGAAATCAGGCCCGAGTTTCTCAGAACGAGCTTTATGGGAATGAATTCCAGGCTTGCAAAACTTGGCAGCATGGTTGGCTGCTCACTGCACAGTGCGTGTAGTCAGCTCGGAAGGTCATTATCTGCCTTGGTTTTGTAATGAAGGATGACTGGGAGACGAAGCAGGGGAGTTGGGCCGAGGATTATTAAGATTTCGGTCCCAGTCTATAGGCAGAAAACTGCATTCAAGAATCAAACCAGCGTAGGTTCCTAACCAACATACCGATGGCCCCCATGTCATCAACGTAGGGACTCTTGGCTCCCACGATCCCTCCGAAGCACTCTTTCTGGGGCGCACAGTAGGACTTGTCCAGGTGGGTCTTTCCGTCGCTGTCCACCACACACCATTCGCAGTCCAGCACACCGAAACAGTCCCTGCCGGAGGGACAAAGGTTCAGAAATCAGTGTGAACAGGAGAGCAGGCAAGCTGGCCTTTAGCTGGACCTCAGGGCTCCACGGCTTGCTCCTTTTCTTGTCAAGTGGGGACAGCAGTCATTTACCTGTGGGTGGCTATGGGCTGCCTCTTGGCCACTTGAAAATGAGAAAAGGCCAGGTTCTCCCTGAGTGGCCTTACAACCTCCAACTGTGGATTAGTGTGGTCTTGTTCAGAATCATCTCAAAGGACCAAAGGCAAATAGACCCTAGGTTTGTTTGGTTTTGGTATAACATGCCCTGTGGCATTATGTTTTTCTTTTCTTTTCTTTTTTCTTTTTTTTAAAGGAAATAGTTCAAGAAATAGTAGTCTATTTAAAAGAGATTTCCTATCGGCCAGTCTCTGAGGCCGCTCCATGGTGATGCTCCTAAGAAATAACATCAGTGACCATACTGCCTTCGTCCAAATACAGCCTAACAGCTCCTGCTAATCAGTTCAAGGGTAGCCCTTCATTCAGCTCAACCAAACCCAAGGCCAACTGTGCCCTCTGTGCCCTTAGCCTGATCTCATGGCAACCAGCATCTAGAAAGAACTAATCCCCCTCCCCCAGATCTGCCATAGCCTCCCATGCCTAGTCCAAAATCCCTAGAGGGGAGCAGCCCACAGCAAGGGACACAGGGCTGTTAGTGTCTCAAAACTGCCCTGGAGCAGGTTTGCTTTCTAAGAAGAAAAGTTATGAAATACTTTCCAGAGAAACCTTGATGGCTGCTGGGTCCTGTTGAGAATCCCAGGACAATATCTTCTCTACTTTGCTTATTAAAACAAAACAAAAAAACTTCCCGCTCACAGAAGAGGCCTTTTTTTTTTAGCCTATAGCATAAATGCCAAACACCTGCAATCAGTGGGAATGGAATATTTAATCGGGGAGAGAAAAGGCTTATGGTGTAGGAAGGATCCTCCCTCTCTCGAAGGACGTATCTTGAAAGCAGGAAGCTGGGCTGCTGGGCACCGATCTCAGGGAGGTCTCTTACCCACTTTCCAGCCTCTGGTTGCACCTGCTGTTCACACACTGGTGCAGGGCGTCTTGCAGGCTGGGGTCGATAGCTGTGTATGTCACTGGCTCCTGGTGGACCTCACAGCTCGGGTTTCTATGAGGGAAGCAAGTGTGGAGGTTAGGGACAAGGCACCCATATCCAAACACCTAGTCCTTGATAAGGTCAGCCAAATCCGAGGTCTCATATTTGTATGGCTGGCTTTCTCACTCAGGGAAACCTTGGGTCAGTCCATTTAACCACTTTGTTGTTTAAATTTGTATACAATAAAAATTATATATATGCTTATATGTACACACCCCCTCATACACCTGAAATCATAAACACTCAACAAAATAGGAATATATAAAGCCAAACTGTGCTCAACCTTTTGTGTTTACAACCCTTAATCTTACTTTTCTGGGGTAACAACTGTGAGTTGGATTTAGCGAGGATCCCTTTAAGAACCCCTTTTTATCTTTAACAAATGTGTATTATATTAATACATATACACACAACATCATGTGTTTCCTTTAAGTTCTAGGAAAGGAATGTAGTACAACCATTAAGAGCTTATCAACAATATAAATAAATAACACCATTTCATGTATGAGCCTATGTAAAGCACATGTATAGTTACCATATAGGTAATTAAAAAAGAACAAAACGCCTCAATATGCATTGAGTACCCAACATATGGTGGACATGTAGAAAATGCTTGTATGAATCTCCTATGATTTATTTATTTATTTATTTATATTATGTTGGGAGCCTTTCTCTATTGTTCTCTATTTTTTGAGGCAGGGTCTCTCACTGAATCTAGAGCTCCATGACTTGGCTAGACTGCTTGGCCTGTAAGCCCTTGGGATCTGCCTGTCTGTTCCCTGGATGGTTGGGGTTACAGGCACACGCCACTGCCTGGATCTGACAGGGGTGTGAGGAACAGTGCTCACGTCCTCATGTTCGCATGAACTTTACCCACTGGACCATCTCCACAGTCTTTCACACGGCTTTGATACAGCAATACACTGCTGATATTTCACAGCATATATAAACATCAAATCAGACATTAAATAAAATTTAAATAATGTTTGGCTTACTGATTATGTTCCTTATTAGAACAAAGCACTTTTGTATACTCTTAACCTACAACAAATTTATAGAAAACATCATAGTATGGAGATTATACATATATGCATACATGTGTGCATATATAAATACAACGCACATAAACACCTATTTTTTTTTTTTTTACCTGTTCTCTGCATTGGTGAGGTTGCCAGTGCACTCATTGACCTCCAGGGGGCACTCACAAGGACATTCACATTCATTTTGTTCCATTCTGAAAAGCAAACAGAATTACTAGTTAAGAGGCAGGTGCTCGCAGAATATCATACACCCACCAGGGAACTGAGATTAAAAAATTCCTTTGCCAGTTACAATTGACAGTGAAAATGAAGCCATGGCCAAAAACTTGAATTGCATTTGGCCTGAATCCGCAGCCATGGTGACGGGTCGTGGGAACAGCACAGATCCTAAAGACTTCTGTAAACCGGGACTTCTTTTCCTCAGGACACACCCCCCACCTCTTCTGTTCCAAATGCCTGGTGTCCACGAACAGAACCCAACCCACCGGTGACAGTTGAGACAGAGACGGTCCACCATGCTGCAAGCGCAGAAGGCGAGGGAGTCGCAGGTCTCATTGACGACGCCGACAAATGCGTTGGTTCCTGGGATCCTCGTCAAGCGGTACTTAGAACAGTGGCTGCCATGCACAAGGTTCGTCAGATCCCCCTGCGGAAGAGAGGAGGGTCAGAACTGACAGACAGCAGTTCGAGGACTCGGCCCTCTCTTACAGAAAAGACAGAATAGCTCGGATTGTGATTATAAAAGCAGCACAGAGCCACTGTTCAGGATTTTTAGCATTTTCTAAAGATATATATGTATGTCTGTGTGTGTGCCACATGTATTTGTGGGGGATAGAATAGGGTGTTGGAGACCCTGGTGCTGTAGGTGGTTGTGAGTTGCCTGACGTGGGTGCTGGGAACCAAACCTGGGTCCCCTAGAAGAGCAGCATGAGCTCATGACACTGAGAGATCTCTTCAGTCCCCATAGCCACTGTTTAAAATGTGGCCCAGAGAACATGGTTTGTTAAAAAATTTGCTTTTCTCACTACTTTGTTGAGAAGAAAATTATAGATAGTTCTATCAGTCAGATATAATTTTCATTTTGTAGTTGGTATATATTTTATATATATTACATAAATGTAAATTTTCATATCTAATTTTATTATGGTTTAGTTATTTATTTTTTACTTTTATTTTATGTACATGGTTGTTTTGCCTTCACGTGTGTCTGTGCACCATGTTGGTTTGTGGCTGGTGTTTCCTGAGGCCAGAAGAGGGCATCAGATCCCATGGAACTGTAGTTACAGATGGCTGTGAGTGGCCATGTGGGTGCTAAGGATTGAACCCAGGTCCTCAGGAAAAGCAGTCAGTGTTCTCAACTGCTGAGTCATCTCTCCAGCTCCTAGTTCTATAACCTTAAGAAAAAAAGATAACATCATTGCTGGTTAGAGTTAACTGTCCCTTAGTGTGGGGGAATTAACTGTGTGAATTGAGGTAGAAAGACCCACCCACTGTGGGTGGCACCATTTCCTGGCTGGGATCCTGAACTGTGTAATAGGGAAGGGACCTGAGCAGCAGCAGGCATTCACACAATCATGCTCTCTGCTTCCTCATGGTGGATGCAGCACTCATAATTAATGGTAACTCTCCATGTCTTTATTTGGGAGCTGGTTGGCAGCCTAAAGAAAATACCAAGTACAGTCGTCCTCTGACCTCCCCACACATGTGCTATATGTACATCTGTACACCCACACAAATACATGATGCAATTTAAAAAGTAATAAAAAATAAATTATTCTAATTTCCATTCAACTAGAATGTGCTTTTTCAACTCCAGCCTCGGGGATTTACCTGCAGAGGACTCTGGAAGCCCCCGTAGAAAAGAACCAGACACATCGGAAGGGGCAGACTTTCATACAGTAACTACCCAGCTCCCCCACAACAGCGCTGCTCACGATGAGCAGGGGGTACGCAGGGCAGCAGGGGGATGTTGTGGACACTTTGAAAGCTTCTCTTTTTCCACTGGGCAATTGCTTTTCACAATCAACTCCATGATATTTAAGATATTCAATTTAATGCAGCACGTTAAAATTATTATTTTATTTAGCCATGTAAATTTTGCAGCAATTCAAGTCATGTAGAATACTCTCGGCTACAAAAGCAAACGAAACAAACACATGCTTTCAGGATGATTGCCACAAAATTCCCCACCTATCACGGTGGGTGACCAAGGACTGACTGAAGCTGGCCTTCGAAATTCAGGCAGTAAAACGTCTCCAGGAGACAGGAGGACCCGGAACCACAGACGTATGTACAGAGTATGGGAACAGCTCTCAGCAGGAACTCAAAGGGATATGGGATGGGGTGGTATGATGGCTATTCTTAGTTGTCAACTTGAGTACATCTGGAATTAACTACATTAACTAAAACCCAAATGGCTGGGCACACCTGTGAGGGATTTTTTTTTTCTTAATTAAATCATTTGAAGTGGGAAGACCCACTTCTAACCTGGATCGTTGAGGTGGGAAATCCACTTTGAATCTGGGCCACACTTCCATAAAGGACGTGGAAGAAGGAAGCTGGCTTTCTCAAGAAGGAAGCTGGCTTTCTCTTTGCCTGCTTGCTCTCTTTGCCCTAGCAAGTCTATTCCTTCCCTGGCATCAGAGCCTACTTCTTTGGGATTCCAGCATGTACTGAAGACCAGCGGAGACATCCGGCCTGAATTCTTGGGCATTATTTTGGGAGACAGCCATTGTTGGACCAGGTGGACCAAGCCTGTAAGTCATTCTAATAAATCCTCTCTCTCTCTCTCTCTCTCTCTCTCTCTCTCTCTCTCTCTCTATATATATATATATATATATATATATATATATATATATATATATATATA